TGGGAAGTCAAATCAGTCAGGGAGACAAACAGTCCCAATACAAGTATTAAGAGAGGAGTGAGGTTCAGCAGGTATAGGTTTGGAAGTGAGGTAAGTCAGGGTAGATAGTGCACAAGCTTGGGACTAGTTAACTGTGAAAAGGCGTGGACAATCGGGAAAAAATGCAAAAGGACACTTTGCCCACTTATTTTTGAAGGCATTTTTGGAAGAGAAGGGTCTTCTCAGAGTAAGGGTTTGTAGAACTGCAAAGATGGCTGGCTGGCTGGGCCAAAGAGAGTAGGAGTACACAAAAGGTTTGCATAGGTTGAAGCAGTTGAAGGACAAAGGCAGATGGGGTGTTGTGGAGTGAAGTAGTACTGGGGAGGGGGGGAGGGCACAATAAGGATGAATAGTAGTAATAAGAGGGGAGGGGGTGGGCAATGAAGAAGACTGTGCAGTAGATGGAGTGAAGAATGTTGGGAGAGAGGAAGGGGTGTATTCTAAAGGTTGAGTAATGACCTGGGTGGCTGGTTCAGAATGGATAGAGTTGTCAGTAAACATCAAGGAATATTAATATCTGTGGATAGAGCCATGGTCCAAGGAGAGGCAGGGGTCAGGATACCAACAAAATCAAATTTAGATAGGCTAGTTGATGAAGGGCCAACACTTAATGCACTAATAAAGCACTAATAAGGGTAAAGAAATTGCATTATTGGTCTTGGTGAGCCTGAAATAAATTGGGAAAATAAATAGTCTACCCCTTAGGGTCCCCATAAAAGGTAAGAACTAGGCAATCAACCAAGAGAATACCATGTCTATGGCTCCTGAAGGCCATTCATAACTGGAACAAAGCCAGCATTTCATCCTTTCAGTATGGATCTCACACCTTAGGGGGAAGATAAGACCATGCAAAATTAGTGGAAGCAAGAGCCAAGGCCCAAGGCAGGGATGATCTCCGTCTGATAAGAACCCCCCATGACAACAGGCAAGGAATTTTGGGGATATTTTACATAGTCTTTAATCAAAACATTTAGCAGAATTTAACAAATTCTATAATCAACCCCCCCCCCCCCCCAACAAAACTGATTTCCTCATGCCTGATGGGTGGGTGCATGGAAGGGCTGTTAACATAAAACTAATGTTGCTGTGGAAGAGAAAATCAAATGTGTAAAAAACACAATTGACTAATAATTAATCTTAAGTCACCCATAATTACAACAAACATTAGGTTACTTACAATATCCAGTTTATCTGGAAATTCAGCTTCCAGTTCCGTTTTAAGTTTACGGAACTTGGGGGCGTACCCTCAGGCACCACTGGAAGAGAAAAATAGAAAACATGCTTTAGTATGAAAATTAAAACACTATAATGCAACTTATTTTGACATCTCTAAATGCTGGACCTGTACAAAAAATAATGGACAAGAGGTTACCTGCCAATTTTGTAAGAAGCTGTGCTGGAATGTCAGTGCTATGTAAACAAGCTGGTACGTAAACAGCTGTATCTGGATATCCTAAAGGGGTCTACAAAGCTTACTGTATTTAAAACTCACTGAACTTCCTAATTTTCTCCTTAGAACTCAAGAGTTTTCTCAATATCCTGCAATTTTCTCCCTTCTCCCATTTATAGATGGTCAATGACCCATGCTAGAGCTAACCAAACGTTCCAATAAACTCTGTGGTCAAGAAGTTTCCTAATCTAAACATACAACTTCCAGACAAAGTGACAGCCAAGAACAAGACAAAACTCGGCAAAAGGGTATCAGTCACAGATCGAGAAACGCAGTTCTGGATGGGTAAGTAGGGTTCCAGAACTCCCAGGTCTTGTATATGCTGTGATCGATCACAGGAGTGCCTTGACCTTTCATTCGTTTAGTGCGTCATCGCCGAGTTGTGTGGAATGCAATAAACATGGAATATTGTAAATTCACCGAATACTCCCCTTGCTTAAAAAGGTAGGCAATTATAAATACAGAATCAGTGAAAAGTGAACAAATTATGAAAAATACATTGCAACTCAAGAAAACCCTTATATGTAACTATATAAGGGTGTGTACACACTTGTATAGTTACATAAGGGTGTGTACACCAGAGGGAGGGGCTTTGGCAACCTAACACGAATCTCCTGACCTTCACAAAGCGTCACTAAAATGACATTAAATCCCAAGACACGTGATTTCACTGCAAAGTCTATAACGTCTCAGCATACAAAAATAAAACAATGTTAAAAGAATAAACACGTAGTTAAACAAAATGTAAAAATAAGCAGTACCAACTGCGAGGGTTTGGCTGCATTACAATGCGGCAACCTTGCTTGGCCACGAAAGCGAGACCTTGTGAGTTAGACAGAATAGGATTGTTTGAGCTTTAATCTTTCCTGTATAACTACTATAAAATATACTACAAAATATAAAACTTGAAATAATATATTTTGTTCATTGAGCATGGAAAAACTCCCAACGACACGCTGGGCCTGTTAGCGAAACATCACTACTCAAGTATGCGGAGAGCTTTACTTCGAGAACTTGTAAATTAAAGGTTTAATGCTGAAAAACGACCAATTTGGCCTTACACTGAGGGAAAAGTTGTTTTAGCTCCATCTCCTTATATGTAATCTGTGACACAATAGATATTCAGTTAATTCGGCATGATTAACAGTCTACAACTCAACCTTACCAATACACCACTTTAATTTGAAGCTTCGTCATGGCTGATGAAAAAGCCCGCCTGAAAACTGCAAACAGCTTGCCGGCTCCTTGTCGCCCAGCAGTAATACCCGTCGCCGAACGACTCGCCTTCACAACTACACGCGTAACCGCTTTGGACTCCCATTTATAGATTTTTGCCTCAGTTGCCACCGAGCATATTTTCGTCACAGAAATCGAAGCGCGTCAGGAACCAACGCGTCTTCTGTCGGGGACGAGGTTGGAAAGACCCTCACTCTGATCAACATGCGAAATCGAATGACTGCTGACCAAGAAAAAATGCTTTCTTTCGTGTCTATAGCGAGTATATACAGAAAAATCGGCCAATCAAAACGCTGTTCTACCTAACAGGAATATGTAACACAACAAATTGGTTGAATGCCACCAAACTTCACATTAAGTTAACACTCTAATCCTAATATTTCCCATTTACGACTTTCGATGAGAATGCTGTTGCAAAGCTCTTCCTCGAACTATACATACACAATGCTACCTCTATAGCAATCTTAGCACTATTTTATTCAATAGAACATCTCTCTCCTTCACCTACTATGACCGTGTGGCCTAATGGATAAGGCGTCGGACTTCGGATCCGAAGATTGCAGGTTCGAGTCCTGTCACGGTCGATGGAGACTTTTAAGTTACAAATCCTGTGAAGGTTTGTTTCCGGCAACAAAAGAGAACTTTAAGTACAAGGCAAGAGTTCAACAACATCGGCACAAATGTTTTTTTTTCCCCCCTCGTTTCCCGTTTTCCCACTCCTTGGTTTAGCTCTGAAACGAATTTTAGATATTATATAACTCATCTTTATTTTTTGCTCTTTTTTTCGTTTAACTCTGAAACGAATTTTTGATATTAGATATAATTTTCATCTTTATTTTTTTGCCTCTTTTTCGTTTAAAAGTTTTATTTGCAAAATTTCTTTTAAATCACAGCTGTTCCCCTTTCCATTCTCGCCCACCATCTCGCCATTTTAAATCTGTGATTATAAAAGCTCAAAATGACATGCGGGAAAGGGAAAGGGAAAGGGATTGAGTAAGAGAGAGAGGGAGGGAGCGAGAGAGCATGGCGAGGGAGGGAGTAGAGGAGGAGGGGAGGCGAGGTGAGGAGAGGATTAGGGGAGAGAGAGAGAAGAGGAGGGAGGACGGGAGAGAGGAGTGAGGAGGAGCGAGGAGGAGAAGAGAGAAGAAAGGAAAGAGAGACAGAAGAGAGAGGATAGAGAGAGAAGAGAGAGAGGAGAGATGAGGGAGAAGGAGAGGAGGGAGAAGAGAGAGACGAGGTAGAGGAAGAGGGAGGGAGAGGGAGAGAGGAGGGGAGGGAGAGAGGAGACGAGAGAGAAGAGAGAGAGAGAGAGAGAGAGGGAGAGGAGAAGAGAGAGATGAAGAGAGGAGAGAGAGAGAGAGAGAGGAGAAGGAGGAGGAGGGAGAGAGAGAGAGGGAGAGAGAGAGAGAGAGAGAGAGGAGGAAGAGAAGGACGAGAGAGGATGAGAGGAAGAGAGACGAGAGAGAGAGAGGACTGAGAGAGAGAGAGAGAGAGAGAGAGAGATCGAGAGAGGAGAGAGAGAGAGAGAGGGGGGAGGAGAGAGAGAAGAGGGGGGGAGAGGGAGAGAGAGGGGGAGAGAGGGAGGAGAGAGGGAGAGATGGAGGAGGAGAGGAAGATGGAGAGATAGAGAGGAGGGAGGAGGAAGATGGAGAGGGGGGAGGAGGAGAGAGGGAGAGAGGAAGAGGGAGGAAGGGGGGAGAGGAGAGGAGAGGGAAGAGTAGTGTATCTGTGTTGTTTTGTATGTATATTATGCATGTGTATTATATGTGTGTTGTATGTATATGGTTTTTGTGTGTGTCTTATTTGCATGTGTGTGCTTTGCGTGTGGCGTGTGCGCGTGTGTGTTTTGTGTGGTGTGGTGAAGTTCTCATTTAATAAGCAGCTGAAAACGCAGCGAAATGCGAATTAAGGCAAATTCGTCCTTACGGGTGTGCTCCAGGCGACGATTGGACAAAATGACAAACATCCTTAAGAGGCCCATGCAGGACCCGCCATAGACTCCTCTTCAGTCTTAGAACCCTTTTCTCCCTTCTCTTCAGGAATAGCAAATTGTACCAAGCTAACTAGCAATGAGTCTAAGCTACATAGAAAAGGAGGAGAGGGAGAGAGGAGAGGAGAGGGAGGGGAAGAGAGGGAGAAGGAGGGGAAGAGGGAGAGGGAGGGGGAAGAGAGGGAGAAGGGGAGGGGAAGAGGGAAAGGGAGTGCGAGAGGGAGAGGGAGGGAGGAGAGAGAGAGAGAGAGAGAGAGAGGAGAGAAGAGAGAGAGAGAGAGAGAGAGAGAGAGAGAGAGAGAGAGAGAGAGAGAGAGAGAGAGAGAGGAGAGAGAGAGAGAGTGAGAGTGAGAGTGAGAGAGAGAGAAAAAGAGAAGAGAGAGAGAAAAGAGAAAAAGAGAGAGAGCAGAAATAACATCATGGAATATATTCAGCACGCAGAGTATATAAAGGCAGCTATTCAAAGAGAGGATAAGAGAGGTTAAGTAACAGGACGAGGAGAAGATACCAGACGATAACAGGATAAGGAAAAGATACCAGAAGGTACGTAAAAGATGAGAAAGGATAAGGATAAGAGGTGGGTAACAGGATGAGGAGAGGATACCCGGAGGTGGATACCAGGATGGTCACAATACAGTTGCCTAGTCACCGTGACCGCGTATAATTCCACCCCCAAACACTTGCCTGAGGCTGGAATTCCTTGAAGGCAGCTGTGCATATTCGCTCCGCTTTCTATGCTATACGAGTTCCTTTCGAATCGTATTCCTGTAGATATCTATGTGTATATGATGACATACTTAATGTTAAAGATGATTACACAAAATCTTCTCATGTCTTCTTTTTATATAAGAAAATTCTAAATAAAGCCATGTGTTTTTCTACCGTCTTATTGCCAATAATTTTTCTTAGGGTATGGACTCGGTACTTGTTGTGGAACCTTAGCTTGATGCCATTGATCACCACGTTCGTTTCGAGAAGCGAGATATTCGGGAAATAGAATCGGCAAAGAAATTGCCATCGTTACATTTTTCCTTTCCTTTCCTTTCCTTTGAGAGACGAGAGAGAGAGAGAGAGGAGAGAGAGATGAGAGAGAGAGAGAGAGAGAGAGAGAGAGAGAGAGAGAGAGAGAGAGAGAGAGAGAGAGAGAGAGAGAAACATCAAAAATAAAAACTACATTCTGGACATCCTCCACCTATTTACCCACCTAGTAACACCACGCAGCAGTACAGAAAAACGTTGGTGAAAATTCTGAGACATCGTATACCTAACTTTTGTATGTGAATTGTGAGCCCAGACAGGAATTTATTAAGATATGGGTGAGGATAACTTAAGTTACTTCATCCCTTTGAAATGTAATTTCTTTTTTGTCTCATTAAACGTGTCAAAGTAAAAAAAAAAAAAAAGTGTTAAAAGTATTTTTTTCCTATTCCTTAACTAACACACTTTAGTCAAAAAAAACGAACAAATGATAATAATTTACAACCAAAAACAAATTAAACCTTTTCGTACCCTTCCCTACTAGGTGCCTGCGGTCACCTCTGCCTCGAGGCCATCGCGAAGGAACCAACAACGACGAGCCACAACGGTGAAAAGGCGTAATTTTCCTACTTCCACCCACGCCTTTCGCTACGACCAACGTGTTCCTCTCAGCATAGATCAGAATGAAAGAACTTGAGTAAGAAGAAAATTAAACGAGGGAGGATGAGGTTGAACAACTGCGAGAACAAAAGTAAGCGGCCATAGAAAATAAATAAATAAATAAATAATAAATAATGAGAATACAATAACTTTACCCTTAACACAATATTTTTAAAAATCAACAACAAAATTCAGTAAATTCTAGCGAGAGCGAAATACAACTTCACTGAGAATGAAATTCAAAAACTTCAACGAGAACAACATTACGAACTTTATTGAGACCAAAATTCAACAACTACAACGAGAACAAAATTGAATAACTTTAGCGTGAACATTTTAACAATTTCAACTTCGACGAGAACAAAAGATTTTAACAACTTGAGCGAGAACAAAATTCAACAACTTCAACGAGAATAAAATACAGCTCTAAAACCGCTCTTCATTAGGAGTTGGGTCACGAAAAGAAATTCGAAGTTATTAACAGTTCATTGAGTTTCGAGTCAAGAAGGTTCAGTAACTTTAACGTCTTTGTTGGCATAGTTAAAAGGTTTCTAATGACAACAATGATAATACTAATATCAAAATAATAATTAAAATAACAATTACAATAATGTTAACAATAATAATTTCAACAATAAAATGATAACAATAACTTCCCTGCTAACATCAGAAAAACGATGTGTAGCTTACATGAATAGACCGAGCTTCTCATAAACAAGAATTCTGACGAAAAAACGGATTGCTTTGGCTTTATTACTCCAATCATTAAATTCCTTTATCTTTCATGTGGCGTGTCCATGGGTGGTGCACTTGACGGGAAAAAAATCAAGGTGAAATCATAATCTAATTATATTATTCAAATCGCAATCACTTTTGTTGCTTGTTGCTTGCTAGTCGTGTAGGGAGTTTGTTAGGGTTGTTGTTAAATTATTTATATCGTAATGGCTGCCATTTTATCATCTTTAACATCATTATTATCAGTATTATTACGAGTGATGGTGGGAGTAAAAATATTATAAGTATAAGTAGTACCATTAGTATTATCAGTATTATTATTAGTATCAGGATTAGTAGTATTAGTCGTAGTAACAGTTGTATCAGTAATGGTAACATAAATAATAATAGTGGAAGTGGTAGTGACTGTAAAAAAATATCAATAACAGTATAAGTAGTTGTGGTAGCAGTAGTAGTTGAAGTAACAGTATCACTGTTAAAAGTAGGAATGCTACTACTGATAGTAGTATTGGTGGTGGCAGTAATACTAGTAGTGATAGTAGTAGTATTAGCAGTAGTTGTAGTAGTAGTAATTGCATCATTTGTAAAAGTAACATCATTGTCATATTTCATATTTTGAAAGGATTATTGTTGTCCATGTTATCCTCATTATCGCTGCCACTACTAACAATATCGTACATTTTATTGATAGCACTTTCGTTATCGCTGTTGTCAGAAGCACCGCTCTCTCTACTGTAAAGTAGATTAGTCAAATACAGCCATAAACTTTTATGCGATGGATTTTTTTTTTTTATTTATTTATTTATTTATTTTATTATTATTTTTTTTTGTCCCGATGAGCCTCAAAACCCGAGAATAGGCAAAGATCTTCGTCTTGAGCACCAGAGTTTAATTACTAATTATTAAGTACTGGCAAGGGATTTATCTAATTATCAACTTACGGGGATTAGCTTTAACCAGGAATCGTTCTGTTTCCTGAGCTTCTGAGAAAGTCAGCTCTCTCTCCCAGGGTCAAGGCAAATATCAGATGACAAAGAAGTCCAGAGGATGGTGAAGCAAGCACGGCCGTAAGTTGTTCTTGTGGTTGCAATCTCCATGAAATTTGTGCTCTGAAGCAACTTCGTCTAAATCAGGGGCCTCTGACTGGGAGTTTTTCCTATTCTCGAGCTCTAAAGACTCCATGGGAGGCTTTTCTGAAGAAAAAAGGAAAATCAGAGGTGATGTTCAAATACATAAAAGGCATTTTGTATGGAGAATGTACTACGTCTACTAACATCAAAATGAGGACATCATTAACAGCAACATAATTAGTTTTCATAATAATAATGGTGATGATACTACTAATACTACCATAAATATAAAACAAAATTACAATAATGATAATAAAGTGACATATTAATATTCATATAACAACAGAAATGAATCATAAGCATGGCAGTGACAGCCATACCAGTTTCAACAAGTAGGCTTTTCCCATCTTACGTAAGCCGTAAGATCGGAAAATCTTTGGGGCCGGTTTTTCCACAAAGGTCAAGAAAACAGTGTCAGAAACCTTTTATAGGATACTAGTCTTTGGCTGTATCTTGTATTTTTAATGGTTGTCTAGCAATAATCGATAGTAAGGAGTAATACCGGTGATGATACTGATGTTAATACTAATAATAAAGATCATAATATAAACAACACTAACGGTGATCATCGTAGCAGTATAATGACAACATGAATCACCAGTATCATTCTAACAGCAGCAAAAGCAATATTAATGACAGTAACAGCGACAGTGCCTGTGATGTAAATAACGTTCTTTAACAATCTCACCCTCATTATAACGGTTCATCGATATAGTTGCAATTTTCGTTCTTTAACAATCTCACCCTCAATATTATAACTGTTCTTAGATATGATTGCAATTTTCAATGTTGATGTACCAGTACTGCTGCTAATATTGCATATTTTCACGTGCACCACCACAGAAATGAAGACAATTATTGACCTGGATCATAAATGATTCCCGTAGTGCCTCTACGTGCAAGTTACATGCACGCCAAAGAAATTGTCTTCACTTGGCATAATGCAGTCTTTGTACCTATAAGAATCAGTAATAGAGGGTATTACACACATATATTATATTAGTACATGATAAGGCTGAGAATAGAACAATGGTTTCTGTCAAGTATGAAGCATCCCATTCATTACAAAACTACTTATTTACAGACACCCGCACACATGACCACCTGCTGCCTAACGAAACTACCGACCCCCCCCCCCCCATTGCCTTGCTCGTTGTTGTCGTGGGGGGGGGGGGGTGTAAAAGGAGACGGAGACTAAGGGCCAGTATAGGTGATCACCCCCACCTCGGACTTCAGCTAATTTTGCATGGTCTTTTCTTCTTTTTCTTTCCTTTTCCCTCTGAAAGGATGAAAGGTAGACTTTATGTGTCCTGAACGGCCTTAGTACTCCGTATGCTTCTCTCTTTACCCTTTTCGTTATCATACAAACTTCCAGCGCTCAACAAAATGACATCTAACACATTTTGTCCTAATTGTTAACTCATGTTTACCCTTTTCGCCACAATACTTTATCATAGTGCTGTATGACCTTCGATGGATGGCGTATTTATTTGTTTTGGCCGTTAACTATTCTGGCAATCCATAAACATCGCCTTGTGAAAAAAGAAGAAAAAAAAATCCTTACCCAGTGGCTTCAACTCCCGAGCCCCAATACGCCGCGAATTACCTTAAATGTTGACGCAGCAGCAAATTTTCAATAAACAAATAAAATACCGAACCACATTCGGAGTAAAAAAAACTAGTTTACCTGTGTAATCTGTCTGAAAGAGGGAGGGGAGCGACCAAAGAGGAGAAGCCTCATACTAGGTTCTTGTTTTCTTTCTTGACGTCCACCTGTTCCTCAAACGTTCCGCTTTTGGTGACTGGACGCTAGAACTGGTTTCCTAGGGATTAAATATTCGTGTTATAATAATATATAATAATAATAATTGATACATATGGAAACTGGGATGATCAGCCGAACGTTAATGAGTAATTTTCGGAGTCGAAGCATCCTTGGCATTGAGCACGCAATAAAAATAATGAAAAAACTATGAGCGATGTATACATGCAGGCATCATTTTCACAAAAGAGCAGAAAGAGCCTGAAACAGAGGCAGATATTTTTAGACGGTGATCTGAGATGTGTTCAGTGGTGGCTGACAAACACCCGAGCTGCAGTCTGGCTATACATATTTTCCTGCCGACAACCGACAACCGATGGCTGGAGTTCCCCCGAAAAGGTTACTGATCCCCGGTATGGCATTCGAGACCTGGGGAAAAACCTTGTCTTGTGATAATTTTAAAAATGGGCTATGTATCTCAACATCATCCGGTGATAAACACTTGTTATTTGATAAAAAAAAATATTGGAAGAAATGTGTAGATGACTTGACTTTTACATGTCTCTTTAATCAATAGCGGAATGAATCAATAACTGCATACTTGCGCATGCGCGAGATGGTAATTTATTACGCATATTCCTCTGTCCGACTAACTTCCATGTCTACGAAAACAATCGCATACTGAATACTTGAATTCATTACTTATACATAAAATAATCGGTCTTTGTTTATAGTACACCTGATATAAATAAAACACGTTAATCAATTACGTTTTTACTCCCACCCCACCTCCATAAACAAACAAAAATAAATAAATAAAAGAAAACGAAAATGTTACGAGGGGGCGCCCGGGATTGAACCGGGGACCTCTCGATCTGCAGTCGAATGCTCTACCACTGAGCTACACCCCCTACACGTGAGGCAAGGAATCGGACAGTTTTCAAGCTGGCGAACGATACCAACAGAAATTCATAGGCCAGGCAAAAGCCGGGAGAGGAGAGAAAGAGACTGCAAAACTGCCCAGACCCGGGATCGAACCGGGGACCTTTAGATCTTCAGTCTAACGCTCTCCCAACTGAGCTATCTAGGCCATGCAGGGATGAGAAACAGTGCATTTATTGACCTGCAATTACTATGGCGTGGCAATTCCTCTTCGAAAGAAAGAGAGAGGGAAAGAAAAATAAAGGAAGAGAAAGAGAGGAAAGGCGAGAGGGAGGGGGGAGAGGGGAAGAGGGGAGAGAGGGAGGGAGAGGGAGGGAGGGAGGGAGAGAGAGGGGGAGAGAGGGGAGGGAGAGAGAGAGAGAGAGAGAGGAGAGAGAGAGAGAGAGAGAAGAGAGAGAGAGAGAGAGAGAGAGAGAGAAGAGAGAGAGAGAGAGAGAGAGAGAGAGAAGAGAGAGGGGAGAGAGAGGGAGGAGAGAAGAGAGAGAGGAGAGAGAAAGAGAGAGAGGGAGAGAGAGAGAGAGAGGGAGAGAGAAGGAGAGAGAGGGAGAGGAGAGGNTGAAAGGCATGGGTTAGTGGGTTGAGGAAGGGGAAGGGGAGGGGAGGGTTGAAGAAGAGGAAGGGGGGATGGGAGGAAGGGGAAGCGGAAGGGCAAGGGGAAGGGAAGGAGGGGGTTGAAGGAGTTGAGGAAGGGCAGGGGCACGGGTAGCGAGAAGAAGAAGGGCAGGGGAAGGAGGGAAGGGAGGGGTGGTGGAAAGGGGAGGGAGGCTATCGAACGAGCGAGAGGCGCGAGTGGGGCTATTCGGCGTCGACCCGAACGAGCGCTCATGTTCCTGGTCAAGTTGTTTATGATAATGACACGAGATTCAGGGCCTTTCAAGGGAGGGGATTTTAGGGTCATTAATATCGCCCTAATGATGGGAGGAGTTATCGTCGATTTTTTTTTCGTTTTATTTATTTCCTTTTGTAATGTGAGAAAGTTATCGTCGACTTTTTTATTTTAATTTTTATTTTCTTTTATATTGTGAGTTATCGTCAATTTTTCTGTTTTGTTTTTTATTTTATTTCCTTTTGTAATGTGAGAAAGTTATCGTAGATTTTTTTATTATTATTTTATTTCCCTTTGTAATGGGAGAGTTATCGTGATTTTCTCTTTTTCTTATTCGTTTTATTATTTCCCTTTGTGATGTTGGGCGGACTACTTGGGTTGGATATAAAATGGACGAGAGGTGATGATGAACAAATTGGGGATATAATTTAAGTTTTTAGGGTTGATGGTAAAGGTAACCTCTATACAGACACACGCATACACAAGACCACGCATACGACACAGACACACGCATCACACAGAACACCGCATACACATAGAACACGCATACACACATGCACACGCATACACACAGACACACGCATACACACACAGCCACATGATACCACACACAGACACGAGCATACACACACAGAACACGCGCATACACACACAGACACGCGCATAACACACCACAGACACACGCATACACACACAGACACACACGCACACATACACAGACACGCATACACACACACAGCATACTACGCCATACACAGACAGACCACACACGACCATAACACACGACAGAGCACAAAGACGCATACACAGACAGACAGCACGCACACGCATACCAACACGACACACACAGACAGACACGCATACACCACACAGACACGCATACACACACAGACACACATCACACCAGACACAAGACATGCATACACACGACAACACACGCATACACACACAGACACACGCATACACACACAGACACACGCATACACACACAGACACACGATACCACACACAGACATCACACACACACACACCACACCACACCACACCACCACACACACACAACACACACACACACACACACACACGCACACACACACACACACCACACACACACACACAACACACAACAAACACACACAACACACACAACACACACACACACACACACACACACACACACACACACACACACACACACACACACACACACACACAACACACACACACACACACACACACACACACACCACACACAACTATTCCAACCTATCGCAAAGCGCTCAACTTATATAGCGAATATTCTCTTACAAAATGGAAAGAAGTCAGCGAAGGTTTACAACCAAAAGGAAAATATTTACAATGGCGTCTGCACACCCACGTGGTTTGTTTGAAATGGTGACGGCTGTGTATTTCAATGATTCTGTTGCCGTCGCCCCCTTGTGGAGACTATTGTTGTTGCATTGCACGTTGTTGGTTTATATTTTTATTTTTTTCCAATTTTGATTTCATTATCGAAGGAAAAATTGTTGTTTTGTTTTTTATTATTATTTATATATAATTATTATTATTATTTTATTATTATTATTATTATTATTATTATTATTATTATTATTATTATTATTATTATTGTTTATTATTGTTATTATTATTATTATTATTATTATTAATTATTACGATTATTAATTAATATAAAATAAAAATCATAATCATTATTATTATAATTATTATTATTACTATTGCTGTTATTGTTATTCTCTTTATTATTAGTAGTAGTAATAATGATTGCTTTACTACTGTTTTATCACCATTCTCATCATCATCACTACCATTGCTATCATCATTTTATCCTTCTGTGTTTACCATTAAATTTCCACTCTTACACTGAAGAATCATTTCTCGTTCCTTCATTCCCCTTTTCTTTGTCCCTTTCCCTTTCCATTTCCCATTTTCCCTTTCCCCTCTAACCGGCCTGTCCCCTCTAACCAGGGCTTCCTCTTGAGCGGAACGATAAAACCTTCAAGACAGGCAACTCGCGGCGCTTTCCGAGTTGACAAACACAGTCAACAGATGGCGTTCAAGAGGCGAATCATTTCTCGTTCCTTTATTCCCCTTTTCTTTGGCGAACGACTCCCCTTGTCCCTTTCCCTTTCCATTTCCCATTTTCCCTTTCCCCTCTAACCGGCCTGTCCCCTCTAACCAGGGCTTCCTCTTGAGCGGAACGATAAAACCTTCAAGACAGGCAACTCGCGGCGCTTTCCGAGTTGACAAACACAGTCAACAGATGGCGTTCAAGAGGCGCGGAATTAATAGTTCGGAACGCGAAGGGTCCCGCGCGCGTCAGGGTGGGGAAGGGTTTGAAGTAGGCGCCACGAATATTTTCCAAGCCTTTTTCTTTAATGCGTTGTTGTTGTTTTCTTCTCTCTCTCCTTCTTCGTTAATTGTACCAAAAAAATTAATTTGATAATTCTAAAAAGGCTCCGAGTTGTGTATCAGTTCGCCAAAATAGACGCACAGACACTTTTAAAGATTTTTTTTTTTTTTTTTTACCTTTCCCAATCTTAGGAAGTAGGACACGTGGATATAAATAGGTTTACGTCCTTAGAGGTATTCGCATATCTATCCACACATCCTCCAGCCTTACAAGAGCTGAGGCACATGTCATGCGTCAGACGGAATGACGTAATGCCCATAGAAGTGCGCGTGCGTAAGTGGCGCCGCCGCACGTATAGCAGGGTGACGTCACGCGCCAAAGCGTTCTTGTAACTCCGCGAACACTTCAATCTCCCGCGTTTTTCTAATCCGGCGCATTTGGATCCGACCCTCGGCCTCACCCCCCCCCCTCCGTCCCTTACCCCCCTCCCCCCCCTGCCTCAAGCCCCGCCTCCTTGGTATGTCTCGAAGCTGGCGGAAGTGACGAAGGTCCTGTAAATACAGAGACAAAGAGAGGGACAGAGACCGATATAAGCGCGAGACAGACGGACGTAAATATGAACACTTTCAAACACAAAGAGAGGGAGGGAGGGAGGGGGGAGACCTAGGAGAGGGGACAGGAGGAGAGGAGAGAATGAAAGAGAGAGAGGAAGAAAGAAAGAGTGAGAGGGAGAAAGAAAGAAAGAGAGAAAAGGAGAAAGAAAGTGAGAGAGAAAGAGAGTGAGAGGGAGAAAGAGAAAGAGAGAAAGGAGAAAGAAAGTGAGAAGTGAGATGAAAGAGAGAGAGAGGGAGAAAGAGAGAGAGAGGGAGAAAGAAAGAAAGAGAGATAGATAGAGATAGAGATAAGATAGAGCTAGATAGATAGATAGATAGATAGATAGATAGATAGATAGATAGATAGATAGATAGATAGATAGATAGATAGATAGATAGATAGAGATAGAGAGAAGGGGGGGAAGAAAAAAAGATAAAGAAAAAGAGTAAGAGAAATAGAGAAAGAGGAGACAGAGAGAGAGATAGGAGAGAGAAATGATAAATGCTCTATCACTCTTTTCCTCCCTTCATCCTTCCCTATCTCCCTCCCTCTCTTCATATCTCCTCTCTCTCCCATCCCTCCCTTTCTCCCTAGATCTCTCCTCTTCACCCTTCCTCCTTTTCCTAACACATTCTCTCTCTCTCTTTCTCTTATTCTCTCTTCCTCCCTCTTTTTTTCCTATGTCCTTCTCTCTCCTTCTTCCCTCCCTCTCTTTCCTTCACCCTTCCTTCTTCCCTCTCTCGTTCTCTCTCATTCTTTATTTCTCTTTTTTCTCCCCCCCCCCTCTCTCTCTCTCTCTCTCTCTTCTCTCTCTCTCTCTCTCTCTCTCTCTCTCTCTCTCTCTCTCTCTCTCTCTCTCTCTCTCTCTCTCTCTCTTCTCTCTCTCTCTCTTCTCTCTCTCTTCTCTCTCTCTCTCTCTCTCTCTCTTCTTCTTCTCCCTCTCTCTCTTTCTTCTCCTTCTCTCTTTCTCCCCTTCTTCCCTCCCTCTCTCGTTTCTCTCTCTCCACCCTTCCTCCCTCCCTCTTTCCTTTCTTCCTTCACCCTTCTTCCTCCCTCTTTCCTTCTCCTTCA